TCATGTCTAAGGCCTAGAACAGGCAGGCTGGGCCTCACCTCTGAGTCTGAGTCGGATGAGCTAGAGCTGGAGGAGCTGGAGGAGTCACTGGAGCTGTCAGAGGCAATCCCTGTAGATTCCTGGAGGTCAACTGCATCAGCCAGGACTGCCAGCTCAGGGTGCTCCTGTTTCAAGATCCTGCAGGGTAAGAGATGGAGTTGTTTTCAGTGCAAGGATGGGCAGTGCCGCTGCACTCGGGAGAGTCAATATGGAGGCCTGCATCCACTAAGAAAGAACCAGCTTCTAGCTCATCCAGAGGTAGAGACTTGGCCCACACTAAACCCCATGCTGGGAACAATCCCTCCCAGCCCAGTTTCCTGAAGGAAAACTACAATCAGTTTCCCATTGCCTGTGCCGAAGGCAACTTTCCCTTGAGTTAGTCTTCATTTTTTTTTCCCCTTAGGAAAGCTGTTCCTATACCCAGTTTTGTTCCCTAAACATTTTCTGGCCTTTTTTTTTTTGTGGCAATACTCAGTCTTGAACTCAGGGCCTGGGCGCTGTCCCTGAATTTTTTTGCTCAAGGCTAGCGCTCTACCACTTCAGCCACACCTCCACTTCTGGCTTTTTGATGGAGACAAGAGTCTTATAGACTTTCCTGCCTGGGCTGGCTTCATACCTTGACTCTTATTTCTCAACTTCCTGAATAGCTACAATTATATATATAAGCCAACAGTGCCCAGCAGGCTGAGTTTTAAAAAACAAAACAAAACAGAATAAAACAAAACAGTCTTTCTGCAATGCAGCACTGATGCAGGAGCAGGACTTGGGTAGATTCTACTTGTAAGAGCAGAAACATGAGGTCGCACAAAAAGACCATGCCCCTCACCTGGCAGAGGAGCTGAACTAACCAGAGCAGCAGCCCTGCCTGGCATCTACTGCAGACAGTGGCCAAGGATCTGCTGTGGAGCGACCTTACCACAGGACACAGTGGCCTAGGGGCACAGTGAGTGGGCTTCAAGTGCCCAGAATCCGGGGGAACAGAAGCCACCACCCTTGCTGGCGCTCTCAGCAGGGAGGCGGAGTACTGATAGAGCCAGGATCCCTCTCTTACCCCGAGAGCTGGTCCCTCCAGGTCAGGGTTGGGACACAGTGGCACGGGGTGGCTGGGGGTGGCTTGCACTGCCGCTGCCCGTGCTGTATCTGGTCTGTGGATAAAAGGAGGCGCTAAGTCTCCAGGGGAGTCACCTCACAAGAACTGAAGGTAACAAGTGCAAATGGGGTAAGAAAAAGAAATACCAAACCAAGCCTACACAAAAGAGCTTCTTTTGCTAGTATTAGCTCTGAAAAACAAAAGAAAAAGAAAACGAAACAGAAACCACCCAGTCAGGAGCCTTCTGAGTGGCCTTGGGTCAAACAGGCAGAGCCTTACCCTGCCGTCTAAGGCTACCAACCCCCGACAGCAGGCTCTTCCTAGGGCCATCTGGGTTATCCACAGGTTGAGACAGAAGCCCCGTTCACTTTCCCCAGGCCTCTCTAAACTCAATCGGCACTTAGTATTGCAGTGGTAGACTTATTTCATCTCTGGGGTAGGGATAGGAACACAGCAGAAGCAAGAAATAAAATGTCTCTCACCTATACCACTTCCTTGATAACTTTGGTCTCCCTCTTACCGTCTTGTGCCACACAACAGGGAAGTTGGTACTGCTGGCAAAATTCTGGGTGATGGCAATGGTAGTGTCGAGATTGAGGACAACATGCCACCAGCCCCCTGAAATCCAACAAATGCACAGTTCAGTGGGTGCTGGGCTTGGATGCCCTTACTGTATGATGTCCACTCCACACATCGGGGAGCTCAAAAATCACACAATTCGACTTATCTAATGCTTACATTACACTTCATCCAGAGACTGCAAAAGGGCAGAGCCACCCTTTCTAGGGCTGCTTTCCTGTTAAAAGGCACAGCTGAGCAACTGTGACAGACTATTTGGCTCACAAGACCTAAAATGTTTAACTTCTGGCCTTTTACAGAAACAACCTGTTGACCCCTTGGTAATCGAATGCTGTGACCAAAACTGGAAAAAAAAAAAAAAGGTCTGCAACTTCTAGGACACCTACTGTAAATCCCACGCTGCTCCCCCTACCAAAGTGAGTGCAGTCAGCTAGCATGGGATTCCCACTCTACTGGGCAAGCACCACACTACATATAATCACAAACCCAACTTACAGAACTAGGTACCAACTACTACAGTAGGAAAGGATACCAGGCAACTATCAGGAACAGACACATGCAGTGTAGAGAAAAGCTCCCTCTACACTTGAGATGCAGTTACCTAGTACCCCTACCATGAGCCAGTGCTCACACAGGCCCTAGTGCAAACCTTTTGCACACATGTGCACTCTAAATAATTCCACTCCAAAATGACAAAACAAATTACTATAATCAAAGAAACGACTTGGGGTGAGGGTGGGGCTCAGGAAGGATACTGACTTCCTTCCAGTTCATGTGTACCTGGCACAAAGACAGTCTCTCCTGGTTTTTGTAAGATTTCCAGGGGTTTGAATTCAGGTGGCCAGGTTGGAAGCTGAGTCCGGGGATAAATAACATTAAACCAGGTAATTGCTTCATCTTGTTGGTTCCCTCCTTCCTCTCGAGTCACCTTGATGAGTTCTCGAGGAGTGCTTGTAGGAAACAGGCACCAGCGCTTGTGGCCCTGAACCAAGGCATTCCAGGCGCTGGTTCCCAGAGGGTCAATGTGAATCCCGGTTCCAGAACGTGGTGGCCCCATCACAAACCACCTAGAAAATGGAAAACACCCAAGAAGACAATTTGACAACATATATATGGAAGTGTTAACCTTAAATTGCAAAAATCTCCCGTGTAGATCAATGGGTCACATTCTTTTTCTCTTTCTTGGTGCTAGTAATGGGGCTGAACTCAGGACCTCATGCTCTTTCTTAGCTTCTGCTTAAGGCTGGCACTCTACCACTTGTGCCACACTTCCACTTTTGGCTTTTTGCTAGACTGCCTAGGTTGGCTTCAAACCCCGATTTTTTTTATCTCAGCCTCCTGAGTAACTAGAATTACAAGTGTGAGCCATCAATGCCTTGTTTGTTAAGTTTTCAGTTTGACTGCATGTTTAAATTACCTGAGGAGCTCAGGAATCCTGATGTACAGATAGACCCTACTCCAATGATAAGGACGAATGTGATCATGGGCAGCCGGGAACAACTGCTGTTTTTTAAAGAGTATCAGCAGATAGAACTGAGGTGTGCAGAGATGCTATTTTTGATAAACCTGGTAACCTAACCACTGAGCTGTGGAACACTTTACCTGTAAGGGGGCCTGCGCTTCTCCCCTGCATATTGGAAAAGGTCATCGGTGAAAAACTTGGGCACCTTGTAGTCTTCCAAAAGTTTCCTTCTTTTGGGATGTTCACCATAGCTGCTGTCAAAGATGTAAAGGGGGCTGTCATCCCGCGTGCTCTCCATGTACTCAATGTAGTACTTCATCTTCATCTTCACGGAGTAGCCATCGTTATCCTCACCGCACTTGAACTTCTGGTTCCGGTATTTCCTTTTCAGGCGCTCCAGAGTCCATTTCTCTTGCGCAGACCAGCCCTCCTGGGCATTCAGCAGAACCACGGGCTTGTAAGGTTTTTCGTAGCGCTCCACAAATTCTCCCACCGACAACTGTAAGGCGTCGGCCCTTTCCACGTTATCCTAGGACAATTAGAAAAGATCGCGGCCGTTAAAAAAAAAAAAAAAAAAAGAGGAAGAAGTCCCGTGGCGGGCGTCCCCACCCAGGAGTAATGAACACTGACACGTCTCGACGACGAACCACAGCCTGGCTTCTGCAGGGGGGGGGCGGAGGAGGGAGCCCCACGTGCGCCCGAGCACGTCGCACCCACAGCCGTCCGTCGGGGGAGGCGTGAGGTTCGCGAGTCCCACTTCGGGGCTCTGACAGCCCGGTCTCCCGCCGCCCCCCGTGGGTCAGGGGCCTCTCTGGGCGGGAGGCGGCGGGCCCCAAGCTCGCCGAGCCCCGGCTCCCCCGCGCCCCCCGGCCCCGGCCCCGGCCCCGGCCCCGGCCCCCTCACCGCCACGGCCGCCGGGCTCAGCGGGAAGCTCTCGTAGTAGTTGTGCCGCGTCCAGTCCAGCGAGTCCTTGAGCTCGGGCCGGGCGCTGCGCTTGGCCTCGCGGATGCGCTTCTTGCTCTTGTGGTTCATCCTGCCGAGTGGCCGGCGGCCTCCCCCGCGGTCTCGGCGCCGCTCGCTCCCCGCCGCGAACGCGCCCTCCGTGGCCCCGGGGCGGCGGCGACACCCAAACGCCCTGCGATCCGGCCCGGCGCCTTTAAAGCCGCCTTCCAGAAAATTCACTCTCCAGACACCTCCCGAGCTTCGGGTTGGGCGAGAGGCAGTCGTCCTCCCCGCCCCGTCGCCTCTCGCGGTCCGCCATTGGCTTCGTCGTCTGCAGAGCCCGCCCTCACGCGCGCTGGGAGGGCGCCATGATGGGAAGGTCGCGCCCTCCTGGTTAGCGACGCCGCCCGGCCTCTCCCTGCTGCGGCGTGCACACCACTTCCGGCAGCACGTCGCCTCCCTACGGTCCGCTTCCGGCTAGGCGCCTCAGCCTGGTAGCACCGCCGCCCGCCTCTCCCGGCTGCGGCGTGCTCGCCACTTCCGGTCTCACGTCACCTGCCTTCTGCCCGCTTCCGGTAAGGCGCCATGATGGGAAGGTCGCTCCAGTCGCTGCTGCCCTGCCTCTCCCCGCTGAGGCGTGCGCACCACTTCCGGCTGCTTGTCTCCTCCTCGGCATCCGCTTCCGGTCGGGTCTCTGGCGCGATCTTGTATTGTGTGTCTCTCGATCCCGCTCTTCTTTGCCTGGTCGTCACCCGGAGAGTCCAGGAACGGAGGGAAGCCCGTCTTGCCCCGTGGTAGCGGCCAGGCGGGGCGGGGCGGGAGGCCACGTGGCGCCCGGGCCGCGGAGACGCGCCGTGCGCCGCGCGCAGCCTGGCAGCCCGGCGTCCTGTGCCGCCGCCCTGTGCTCGCCGTCGGTGGGCGAGCGCGGGGTCGGAGGGCGTGCGGCCTGGGCCCGGCGCTTTCGGTTCACGGAAGCGCCGGGCCCCGGAGCTGAGGGGGCTGTGCTGGAGGTCCGCGTCCCGCAGGTGCGTGCAGCGGCACCCGCGGGGTGGGGGCTCCGGGTCCCGCGGAGAGAGGCGTCGACCCGGGCCCGGGTCTGTGCGGATTCGCTGGGGGTAGTGTGTGTGTGTGTGTGTGTGTGTGTGCGTGCGTGTGCGCGCGTGCGCCTGCGTGTGTGTAGAGGGGAGGACTTCTGCTTTAGATTGGCTGGAGGAGCAAAAGGTTGGGGACTGTGCTAAAAAGGATTCAACACACTGGCCATTTCCTGCCCAAGTATCTCTCTAGGTCCCTATTGTTTACCTTGGTGTTGTGGTAAAGCTGAATCAGTTCTTCTTCTGCGCGCGCTGGGGATGGAACCCAGGACTCGGGAATGCTGGGCCAAAGCTGCACTATTGAGCTACATCCCAGCCCCATACGTCTCACTTCTCTATATAAGTTTTGAGACTAGGCCTTCCAACCCACCGTGCATGGCTTCCTCTGAACCCAGAGCTTCCTCAGCTCTCTGAATAAAAATAAACGTGCCGTTCATCTGTTTTTGCAAAGCACTTTCGCATTCTGGTGTTGGAGTACTAACACCTCCCTTATAAACACATGTCAAAACAGGAAGAAACAGCTTGGGAGAAGTTAGGTGGAATAAGCTGGGGTTTGGTTGGTGGCTCACTCCGGCAGTCCTAGATGAGGATAGCAGTTCAGGGCTAACTTTGGCAGATGTTTGTGAGACTCCTCAAGAGTTGGCTGTGGTCTGGGTTAGAATCTGGCCCATAACATACTTTGAGCCTGTAGAGAGAGACTTGACCTCAAAAATAACCTGCAAATCCTAGCAAGGGTGGTTCATGCCCATAATCCTAGCTACTGAGGAGGCTGGGGTCCAAGGATCATGGTTCAAAGCTAGCCCAAGCAGGAAAGTCCATGAGACTCTGATCTCCAATTAACTACCAACACACACTCCCCCTCCCAAAAGAAAAAAAAAATATGTAGAGCTGTGGCTAAAGTGTTAGTGTGCTCTCCTTGAGCAAAAATAAAGCTCAGGAAAAGCACCCAGACCCTGAGTTCAAGCTCCAGGACTGTCACAAGATAAAACTGAAAAGCCACTACTGGAGGCATGGCTCATTGGTAAGAATGCTTAACAAGCTTGAGGTCCTTAGTTCAAACCCTAGTACTACCAAGAAAAGGTGGGGAGGCTGGGAAGGTGGCTCAAGTGGTACAGTGCTTGCCTTGCATGCATGAGGCCCTGGGTTTGATTCCTCAGCACCACATAAACAGAAAAGGCCGGAAGTGGCGCTGTGGCCCAAGTGGTAGAGTGCTTGCCTTGACCTGAAGAGCTGAGGGACGGACGGCACTCAGGCTGAGTTCAGGCCCCACAACCGACCAAAAAAAAAAAAAAAAGCCTTGCAACCACCCCCGCCTACCTTTGCTTTACTGTTAGTAGTATTTCCCATCCCCAGTTATAATGGTCCCTGATTAAGGGGTTGGGGATGCATAGTGGTGAATGCTTTCAGTCAGCACTCTGGAGGCTGAGATCTAAGGACCACAGTTGAAAGTCAGCCTAGGCAGGAAATTCCATGAGTCTTATCTCCAATTAACCATCAGAAAACTGGAAATGGTGCTGTGACTCAAAGTAGTAGAGTGCTAGCCTTGAGCAAAAAAGCTTAGGGACAACAGCTAAGCCCTGAGTTCAACCCCCATGACTGACCAAAAAAAAAAAAAACCCTATAGAATGAGTCAAATGAGTGTTGCAGAGTGTACTTTATCATATGGCGTTATGGTTTTATATCCCCAAAGGTTGTGAACCAGAAAGCAAAAGCCTGACACTCAACATGTTCTTTCCAGGTCCTGCATCTGCAGTATGGAATGTACATCTGGCCCTGTGCTGTGGTCCTGGCCCAGTACCTATGGTTTCACAGAAGATCTCTGCCTGGCAAGGCTGTCTTAGAGGTACATGGCTCCTGAAGTTTCCAAAATCCTAGGTTATATTGAGATTTCTGTCTACTTGATTGTTACTAGCCTTTGTTAAAGTATTTGAAAGTCAGGAGCAGTGTGGCTGACAACTTGAAAGGTCCCAGTTATGAAAGCTTTTTTAAACATCTTTAGAGTGTTAATTCATGTGACAGACCATTAAATGATTTATAAAGCCTGGAAATAGTTACTAGTAGGCCCTTTACAAGTTGATTGGTCCTACCCTAACAGTATGTGCTGGTCTCCCTTTGTAGTCTAGGCTGACCTGGAATTGGCTGTTTTCCTGCCTCAGCCTCCTGAGTGCTAGGATTACAAATGTGTATCACCACATGTTTGTTTTTGACAGTTGTGGGGCTTCAACTCTGGGCCTGGGCACTGTGCTTGAGCTCTTCAGCTCAAGGCAAGCACTCTACCCACTTGAGCCACAGCACCACTTCCAGTGTAGTGCTTAGGAATCAAACCCAGGGCCCTCATGATGCAAGGCAAGCACTCTATCACTGAGCCACCTTCCCAGCCCCATAGCAACAGTTTTTAAGGCTGCGTCTAGGTGGCTTGCTGGGTCACCCAGCTCTACTAGGATACTTGAAGTGTTTTTCACGTTTCAAAAAAGGACAAATTTGACAGCTTACCAACAAATTTCTCAAGAGTTTTGGGTAGCCAGGAAGCCAAGGCCTTTGCCCTCCTCTCCCAGTCATCACACTGATGTTTTAAGTTTTCGAAGCCAGTCTGGGAAGGTGGTTCAGCCATAGAGTGCTTGCCTAGCATGCATGAAGCCCTGGGTTCCATTCCTCAACACCACATACACAGGAAAAGCTAGAAGTGGTGCTGTGGCTCAAGTGGTAGAGTGCTAGCTTTGAGCAAGAGCAGCTCAGGGACAGTGCCCAGGCCGAGTTCAAGCCAAGCCCCAGGACTGGCCAAAAAAGTTTTCAAAGCAATTTTTGGGTGGATATAAATATTGACCATAACATAGTCCAATCCACTTTTGGAAATGTTGAGATTAGCTTCAAAATGTTTCCCATTCTCTTAGCTGCTCACCACTCTACCTAGTTTGAGATTACTAATGCTGGAAAGTAAATCTTTGAGACAAGTCTTGCCTACTGTAGCCCAGACTGACCTTGAACTAGTGCTCTCTTTGCCTCTGCCTATACTATTTGGATCCTCATGTTTTGCTCAAATAAGTTTTAGGCACCTGTATTTATGAGCCCGTTCTTGGTATTCACCAGCATGTTTACAAAGGGCTTTATTTTCTAGGCTTTACTAGAAAATCTCCCTTAAGTTGGTGTGGTGGCAAACACCTGTAAACAGAGTACGCAGGAGCTGAGCAGGTTATATACTTGTCTCGTAGAACAAGGAAAAACAAGCCTTTTTGAGTAGAAAACTGCTATACATTGACCTACAGAATAGCAATTAATATTAGTAGTGACAACTCTAGCTGGCCGTGCATTCGGCCTGGATGCTGCCTGACCCTCTGTGCTCAAGGCTAGCTCTCTTATCACTTGAGCCACAGGACCACTTCTGGCTTTTTCTGAGCAATTTATTGGAGGTCTCACAACCTCTTCTGTGGCTGGCTTTGAACATCCATCCTCAAATGTCAACCTTCTTTGAGTAGCTACTATTACAGGTATGAGCAACTAGCACCCAGCTTTCCTGGTATCCTAAAGAATTCAAAGCTTCTTTTAATACTTGAGGACTGAAAATCATTATGGGAAGAAACAAGTGGATCAGTATCTTTACAGGCTTTAATTGCCCTACGCTGCAGAGTTAATGTGGAAGCTTGCCCGACAAGCACATATTAAATTGTACAGAGTAAAAGGTTTCACCACATATTACTTTATACTTCCTTGCCTTTTCCTCCTAAGACACTTCCCTAACATTGGTTTCTTTCTAGCCTAATCTTATAGTAGTGCTTTGCTTCATTAGGTTTAAAAATTACGAAGACAGATCATGGTTGAAAATGCAAATGATTATCCACCAAGCCTTCAAAATAGGATTCCAGTCTTTGAATGCCATCTTTCTATGTTTTACTAGATTGGAGCTGGAGTAAGCCTTCCAGGAATCGTGGCTGCAAAATGTGGTGCTGAAGTAATACTGTCTGACAGTTCAGAACTTCCTCACTGCCTGGAGATCTGTAAGCAAAGCTGTCAATTGAATAACCTGCCTCAGGTACAGGTCATAGGAGTGACATGGGGCCACATCTCTCCGGATCTTCTAGCCTTACCACCACAGGACCTTATTCTTGCATCTGATGTATTTTTTGAGCCAGAAGGTAAACTCTTGCTTTATGTGACCAGAGATGATAGAAAAGCCCACCTATAATCCTAGCCACTCAGGAGACACATCTGAGTATGGCAGTTCAAAGCCTGAGACTCATCTCCAGTTAAGTCACCAGAAAATTTGAAGTGGAGCTATGGCTTAGTTGTAGAGCACTGGCCTTGAGCAAAGAGCCAAGGACTCTTCTCACTCAGCAGAGTTAAAGCCCCACAACTAACCCTCCCCCCGGCCCCCCCCAGAGGGGGAAAAAAACCTAAAAGCTGTTTTCTCTTCAGATTTTGAGGACATCTTAACTACAGTGTACTTTTTAATGCAGAAGAACCCCAAGGTTCAATTGTGGTCAACATACCAGGTTAGAAGGTGAGTATTGAACGATCCTGGTTTATTCAAATTCACGGGCAGTTTTTCAAGGAAAACCAATGTTAAGTTTATGCACTAATTTATTTCTTCTAAGTGCTGACTGGTCACTTGAAGCTTTGCTCTACAAATGGGATATGAAATGTGTCCATATTCCCCTTGAGTCCTTTGGTGCAGACAAAGAAGAGATAGCTGAATCTGCCCTTCCAGGAAGACATACTGTTGAAATGCTGGTCATCTCCTTTGCAAGGGACAGCGTATTGAAATACTGATTAGCCTGGCCACTTCAGCTTCTCAAGCAAGTAACAGCCAGCATCAGCCAGATCTGCTGGCCTTAAGATTGTCACTTGTTACCTAGACTACACCCATAATCAGGAAACTAATAAAATTAAAATACTCATGAAGCTTAGATTTGGATTGCTTTTTCTTATGGTGTTGGTTGGGGTGGGTATTGAACCCTGGGACAGAGAATATATGCTAGGCAAGTTCAGCACTGAGCTCCATTCTCCACTGCTTATCTTTAGCCATGTGTAAATTTGAGGAAGTCAAAGGTTTTCACTCAGTACTGGAACTGCTAAAGCATCTTACTAACCTTTGTGCTGTATGCAAGGGCAGTGGCATCGACATCATAGGTCTGTGAAATAAGTGGGGAAGGAGGGAAGATCAAGACATTCTGAGAAAAGCTAACACCAAGAAAACATTTTAATTAAACTACAGAAACAATGGTCATAGTACAGAATATTCATAAGCAAAACGATACACCATATCAAGTACGTACAAAGTTACAAACCATTTGCTTCCTTAACATTTTCCATATTTTAAGTTTACACACAAGGATGACCAGATTTACCATTTTTGGGGGGGGAAAAGGGAAAAATGTATTTATCATCAGCTAGATGTGCTCACTGTATGCTCCGTTATTTATATGCAAGGCCCGGGTGACTGGAAGTGCAGTTGTCAGGCATTTTAATAAACTGGACAGCCCCATTTGTTTCTGCACGACAAGGCATCTTTACACAGGAGCAATCAGGAGAAAACAGGAAACAGCCAAGCACTCTGCACTGCAACACGCCACCTTAACAGCTAACCAGCATTACTCAACTGCTACACAACTGCGCCTAGTGCACAAAAATACATAAGAGAAGAGATTAGAATTGTGTTTGGTAAACAATCCTTTAAAAAAAAAATCTTCACCTGAAAAGTTTTTATGCCAATTTGGGTTCAGATTACCATTTAGATCTGAAGGTAAATAACACATATCAACAAATTTACACCAACTTTTGTAGGTTTTTAATTTTAAGGAATGAAGGCAATGTTGAGTCAATCTGTTGCCAGCTTTAGGCTGTGTGTAATGGCTGCACAGTTTCCTTTTATAAGTCAGGAGGCCACAAATTAGGTTACCAATCTGTTTAATTTCAAACAAAAAAAGTCAGCACTATATATGAACAAAATGAAATTTTACCTCAAATATCCAATCCAATAATGAAATCTGAAGTCGTTCACCTCACTAAATTACAAGAAATTTGAATAACAGCAACAAAATGGCACATAAAATGAATTTGCCACCTGAGGCAAAGATAAAACAAGTAAAAAGTTAGACAAATGTTACAAAATAACCTTTTCAATAGCCAGTTGCTTGTTCCAAGGACTCTTCCGTGGACCGATGGACTGAGTGTGGTCCTTTTCCCCCAAGTCCTGTTATGCTGCTTGCCGATCCATCTAGGTTTGAAAAGAAAAAGGTTTAGTTTACCCTCTACTACGACAAAGATACCAAAGTATATGTGGTTTCAGTTTCAGGCATGTACTTACTAAGGCTCTGGTGAAACAAGTAGGTACACTAAGGCTCCACCCAGCCATTATCACATTTTTTAAAAGGCCCAACTAGGACAATTTCAAAGGCTAAAATAACCAGCACTTGCAAGTTTGAATTGAGTTCTTGGCCAAATAACCAAGGTGAAAAAAGTTAGGGAGGGAGAAAAGGAAAAAAAAAAAAAAGGGTGGGTGGTGGAGGGAGGGAAAGGGAGCTGTATCAAAACAAAACAAAAATTTGAAATCAGAAAGTTATTCTAAGATAATTTTTTTTCAGATGAAACATCTGGCAATTGAAAATGTCTTTATCCGAGCTATTCAGGGCCCTTTCTTTTTTTTTTAAAAAACAGGACCAAACAATTTGAGAGTTAAAGACACACTATCCTTCTCCCACCCAGTGCAATACCTGTAAACTTTCTTTTGGGGTTCCAAAAGCTCTTTGCTTCCGTAATTGCAATTGGTTTGCCACATCCATTAGAGTTAGAAGTCCCAGTCAGTACAACAATAGTTGAACTGATCGTCTTTCTCTAAGAGGATAGTGCATCTTTAACGTGTAAAGACAAACCTGCTCCAATACACGCCCACAGAAACTGGTCCCTGGAGGATCAGCCATATCAGTTAAAATCTGCAATACTGGCCAATATTCTTTTATCAAACAGGAGACCGCAGCTTTAAAGGGGAAAATGCAGACGTTGGATAAAAACAGCAAGAAATAGTCATTTTCATTAAAAGGTCTCAAACAGTTCACGACACAGCCATTATCTAAGCTTTCCACATCCAGTGCAGACCCCTCTCTTCAGTCATCGCTCCCAAAGCCGAGTCACCTCGAGCCTCAGTCTCCCCACGCGGTGCGCACGCCCACTGCCGCCCCGCCCGCGGACATTACCATGTGCTCACGACGACACGGCGCCCTCTTCTTCCGGAGACTTGGGGGGGCTCTTGGACCGCGACCGCGACTTGGACTCCCTCTTGGACACGGGAGGCGGGCTCCGGGACCGGGACCGGGACCTCGACCGCGAGCGGGATCTGGAGACCGACGACGACTTGGACTTGGATCTTCGCGCAGATCGCGACTTGGAGGTCGAGCGCGAGCGGGATCGAGTGCGGGAGCGCGACTTGGAGCGGCTGTAGCGGGATCGGCTGCGGGACCGGGAGCGGCTCCGACTCCGGGATCGGCTGCGGCGGCGCCTCCGTGGGCTGCGGGCGGACGCCAGGCGCGCTGGTGAGCTGGGGTTCCCGCCGCCGCCCCGGCCCCGCCCGCCCCGCCGCCATTATCTCGCTGCCAGGCGCCATTTCCCTGGCCGCGAGGCGGGGTCTCGCGTGGCCCGGCCCGGCCTCCGCCCGGCCCCCACGTGCTCCGCCGACCTTTGTGCGCCCGGCCGCCCGCCCCGCTCACCTGCGGCTCCGCCGTCCGTAGCCGCCGCCGCCGTACCTGCGGGGCGGCGGGCCGCGGCGGCTGTGGTGCGAGTCGGGGGGGCGGCCGTAGCGCGCCATCTGCACCCGCAGCTCGCGGCCGTCCAGCACCGCCCCGTCCATGGCGTCCATGGCGTCCTCGGCGTCGCGCTTGTCGTGGAAGCGCACGAAGGCGAAGCCGCGGGACTCCTTGGTGTAGCGGTCCCGCGGGATGTACACGTCGCCGACGCGCCCGTACTTCTCGAAGACGCGCCGCAGGGTGTCGGGCGAGGTGCGGTAGGTCAGGTTGTCCACCTTGAGGGAGGTCATGCCCTCCACGTCGGGAGGCGGCCGGCCGTAGCTCATGGTGGCCGCGGCCCGGGGCCCCGCGAACTGGCGCCGCGACTAGGAGACCAACGCCCGAGCGGGCCCGCGCGCACCCCGGGAGCCGGGCGGGAGGCGCCGCGCCGCCTCGGTGGCGGTTACCGCCCGCGTGTGGCAGCGGGAAGGGCCCGACGCGGAAACGTGCGAGCACACGACTCCGGCGGCGCAGCGAGCCGAGCAGCAACTGAGCCGCGGCGCGCCCCGGCGCGCCTTTATAGCCTTCCCCAGAAAATGGCGCCCGCGCCACCCGGAAATGAATCCTCTGATTGGCTCGGCCCGCCCCGCCCGGTAACGTCTCTACCGCGCGCCCCGCCCCCCGCCCGACGCGCCTGCGCAGACCCCGGCGGGCGGGCCGAAAAGCGCGCAGTCACTGCTGACGGGAGGGGGAGCGGCGTGAGCGGGCAGTTGGAAAGCCCGCGAAACGCTCTTTCCGCCGGCGAGGTCGGGCGTGACCGCTCGGGCTGGAGGAAGGGGAGGCGCTCCCCACCCCCGGGTCCCGCCTTCTTCTCTTACCAATGCCCGTCCTCCACGCGTCTCTTCTCCGCCCGCAGCCCTGCCTCTGTTGGAGGCGTATCCCTGCCCCTATTTTCCCGTCCGTGTCCCTGGCCTCCTCGGACCCCGCCACGTCAGTCACGGACCCCCTTCTCCCAGCTCCCGCCTGCTTTGCGCTGGGACCTGCTCCCCAATTTCCCCTCCCCCCCCCTTTCCCGGGCATGGTCGGTGGGGGCGGGGAGGGAGCGATTGAGGGCTGAGCGCATGCGCGGCCCGCAGACCCGAGACTACCTTTCCCGGCGGGCGCTGCGGCTGCAGTCAGCTGACGCGTCCCGTGACCCGCGCGGATTGGGGCCGGCGGGCGGGGGCCGCGGCACCGCAGCTGCTCGCCCTTGCCCTTAATCCCCGCCGCGGGCCCCTCCGGCCCTCGTGGGCGTCCGTCTCTTCCTCCCTGTGACCTCCTCCCGCGGATGTCCTAACTCCACCCGAGGCCCGGGACGCCCGGTCCGAGGCCCGGGCCGCACCGCCGGGCCCCCGGGTCCGCTTCTGCTCTCACCGTCTCGTTTCTTTCCCCAGGGTTTGCGGGGTTCACCCCGAGGAGAGCTGACTGTCCGGGGCCGCCGCTGACCTGCGGCACAGCGGAGCCAAAATGTCCCCGGAGTCTAAAAAGCTCTTCAACGTCATTATCTTAGGAGTTGCCTTTATGTTTATGTTCACTGCCTTTCAAACTTGTGGGAATGTGGCGGTGAGTGGAATCCGTACCCCCTCCCTGGAAGGGCCTATCTTAATGCACCCCCAGAACGACCATAAACTTGGAATAGCACGCGTACATTGCACCTTCCCACTTCCCACGTGGGCTGCTTCGTTTTCTTCGATTAGGCTTGATTTCACGGGACAAGACATTTCTCCCTTAATGGGACGTTCAGATGACCCTTTATTTTCGGGCTTGACTCTGGCTGATGCTGGTCCGAGTTGTTTTGTTTTTTGTCTGTATTGGCTCCACGTTGGTGCTTGGATGGTTAAGGTAGTTAAAAAAAAAAAAACCTGGGCACTGATAGAGCTGGCCGCTCTCTCCCGGCCCCACCGTTGATGTGTCCTGTCCAGTCCTGTTCTGTCTCCTGTCATAGTGGACCTGTAGTGTTGAATAGTGACCATTGTGAATTTTGACTTTTTTTCTTTTTGAGTTCTTGCAGTTAGACTTTACAAGGGGAAGGGAGCTTGAAAGCGTTTTTGTTGACTATTTTTATCTTCTACACAGCAAACTGTCATCAGGAGCTTAAATAGCACAGATTTTCATGGCAGTGGATATACCAGGTATTGTACTGTACGCTGCTTTTCCTTTATATAATGGTAGTTGCTTAAGTCTTGTCAAAGTCTCCAGCAATAAAATAATGACCTGAGTAGTAGTGATTGCTTCCCATTCCCCTTCCTTTTTTTTGGTATTTGGAAGTAGATAACACAGAGATGATGAGTTTAGATTTCCTGTGGAAGTAGAAACCAGGCTTGAGATCCTGGCTTCACAACCTGATCGCTTTACCTTGAGCATGTTATTTCCTTGAGCCAAGTTGATTTGCTCAGACGAAGGACATAGAACACTTTCCAAAGTGGGGGACAAATAATAAGCACTCAGGTATCACAACTACATGCTCCCAATCCTGAACAGGTCAGGTGTTCATGTGATTCTTGAAACATTTGAGTTTTTCATATTTGAAATGTCATTACTATTTCATTTGCAACTTGGAGTTTGACTAGGAGTTTTTAGATTTTTTTTTTTTTGGGGGGGGGGAGGCTGGTCGTGGGGCCTGAACTCTGGGCTGTCCCTCAGCTCTTCAGCTCAAGGCTAGCGCTCTACCACTTGAGCCACAGCACCACTTCCGGCTTTTTTCTTTTTGCTTATGTGGTGCTGAGGAATCGAACCCAGGGCTTCATGCATGCAAGGCAAGCGCTCTACCACTGAGCCGCCTTCCCAGCCTCAAGTTTTTAGATTTTTGTTAAGATGTTGACTGCCAATTTTACAGAAAACAAAGAGGAGTGGAAGTATAGCTTCAATGGTAGAGCACTGCCTTGTAAACATGTGGAGGACCTAAGTTCAAACCCCAGTACTACATACATAATACATGAAAAGGCTTTCACAAGTCACTTTCACCTTGTGATAGTAACTGGGAATGTAGTACGTACAGGTATACACACATTTCTCAATTTGACAAAAACTAATTGATACGTTTATCTGTACAACATGTGTTTTGAAATATGTATACATTGTGGAGTGGCTAGATTGAGCTATATAAACACATTTCTTATTTTTTATCTAGGTATAGGTACTAGATTGTGATACCACTTGCCCCCAAACTCTTCTTATTTTGATTCTTTGTTGCTTACCTGAAGCTTTGAAGATGACATTTGACAATAAAGGAGTCCAGTTTCCCAAGTGATTAATAGCAATACCATAAAATTTTTGTAGCCTCAAGTATTCTAAAGAATGAATGAGAAATATATTCGATAGTGAGAGGTTCATGAAAGCCAAAGAATAATATACTATGAGTTTACAGATTCACACACTGGCTAGTAAATGAAATCAGGACTCTCAAAATGGTTTTGGTCTCATTTTGCACACACAAGAAAAGACATAGTAGGGCTGGGTCAGTAGTAACTGAGAAAAAGTTCAAGTGGAACCGTTATTTTGAATTAAATAGATTCTGTGCTTTGTTATTCATAGCAAAGAAATGTGTGTAGTTGTCAGGAACTAAGTTTGTATAGCAACTGCTTGACCCAGTCCTGGATTCAGTCACATTGCCAGGATGGGATACTGGCCTACACCATTCACCAGCAACCCAGTTAATCTGTTTAGCACAAGTTAGATCAAGAGCTCTACTCCAATTTTCTATAATGAGAATAATATCAAAACTTTCTTCCTGGAGCTCTTAGGCTAAAAAGAGGTAACATCTATAAAGTCTTAGCCCTGTTATATGTTCTCATTTACCAGTTGCATTGAAAATTGATTCAAAGAGACATCTGAGCTGTGTATAGTGGCTCATGCCTGTAGATTTAGGAGGCTGAGAGCTGAAAAGGTTTGTTTAAAAATCAGCTTAGGCAGGAAAGCCTTTGATGCTCTTTTCTCTTAACCAGCAAAAAGCCAGAAGTAGAGGCATAGCCCAAGTGACAAAATTCTAACCTTCAGCTAAAAAGTTAAGAAACACTATCTATGCCCAGAGTTCAAGCCCCAGTTATTGACATAAAAGAGAGAGAGGGGGGCTGGGAAGGTGGCTCAGTGGTAGAATGTTTGCTTTGCATGCATGAGGCCCTCGGTTCGATTCCTCAGTACCACATAAGCAAAAAGAAAAAAGCTGGAAGTGGCGCTGTGCCTCAACTGGTAGAGCACTAGCTTTGAGCTGAAGAGCTGAGGGACAGCGCCTAGGCCCAGAGTTCTGGCCCCAAGACTGGACTCAAAAAAAAAAAAAAAAAGAAAGAGAAAAGAAACATCTGATAGTATTTCACTATTTTGTTCAAAAGAAAACCTTAGTATGATAATTCAGTTGAAAGAGATAATTATAAATTCTAACAAAAGAACATGAATGTTTATTGCCAAACATTCAGACTGAGTAGAATTTTGAAGACAGTCCTTAAACATTCTGTTCTTTTTCTCCTTTATGCGTGTTATGTGTGCAGCATGGCTATTATTTATAGCGTGTTCTCCGCTTCAAATTTGATTACACCATCAGTGGTTGCCATTGTTGGCCCTCAACTCTCCATGTTTGGCAGTGGCTTGTTTTATAGGTGAGTAGTGCAAGACTTTCACTTAGAACATTTCTAGCATCTTTCAGGCACACGCTGTAAACAGTCCTCTTCCTACCCCCCACCCTGCCCTGTGCTGGGGATTGAGCTCCAAGTATTCTACTTTTTTTCTGGTACTTCAAGCCATAGTACTGGCACAATCCTAAATATCTCCTTGCAGATTGAAAAAAAAAACTTTCTTTGAATTACTCTTGCTTTCTATCAAATAGACAGGGAGTCAAGTGAAATACATAAATCCTGCAAGCTCTAGAGCTAGAGTCCATTATATGCTAAGCTATACACAGAGGCCACTACAATCTGATAAAAAGTCAAATAACCAAGGAAGAAACAAGCAGCTCACATCATCAATACCAAGGCAGTGCTTTGCAGGTTGAGTTTAAGAGGGCTCTCCCAGCTGACTCCTAGAAGGCATGCTTGGCTTTGTGTTTCAGGTATTGTTTGACCGTAATACATTGACCTGTTATATTTTAGCATGTACATTGCCGTTTTTATCCAGCCTTTCCCATGGTCCTTCTACACAGCGTCAGTCTTCATTGGAATCGCAGCTGCTGGTGAGCATGTTTGTTTATGTTGAATCTCTTTCCTGGGCCCTATAAAGGGTACCATTTAGGTGTATAGTATGTGAAGCCAAGTAATTTCATTCCCTTGATAAACTTTTGGTTTGAATTTTAGTACTTTGGACAGCACAAGGAAACTGCCTGACAATAAATTCAGATGAGCACACTATTGGGAGAAACAGTGGGATTTTCTGGGCACTCCTGCAGTTTAGGTAATAATCCTTTTGGATCTCAATCAAAGTTTCCTTTGGTTTTGTTTTTTTGTTTTTGTTGTTGTTTCATTTTATTTGTCCTGCCATCTGTTAGGTCTTGATTTCATTGCAAATGCAGATTTTCCATGTTGTAGTTGTAGGACCTAAGTTCTAGCTGAATATGATACAGATGCTTTTTACTTATTTTTGGTGGGGAGGGATCAGTCATAAGGGTTGAACTCAGAGACTAGGCATGCCATCCCTGAGCTTTTTCACTCAAGGCTAGTGCTCTACCACTGTGAGCCACAGCTGCACTTCTGGTTTTGGGGGGGGGGGGGGGGGTTAATTGGAAATAAAGAGTCTCGTGCATTATCCTAACTGGGCTGGCTTTGAACCATGATTCTCAGATCTCAGCCTTCTGAGTAGCTAAGATTAAAGGCACGAACCTACCAGTGCCTGGCAAACAGGTGCATTTTAATGGAATTATTTAAATTGTGTGGAAATGACTTTATTTGAACTTAAGATTTGTAAGGAAGTAATATTCTGTTTAGCATCTGCTGTATTTGAGGGATTGGGGGATTATTTACTTAAGTTCACATTATCCCCAGACAAACTCCTGAGGTAAGAAGGTATCTCTGCCCTACAGAAGAGAAAACCAAGACCAAAAGTCATTATCCAGTTTAAACCATTGTTATCTAGATGAGCTACATTGCTTAATAGCTCTGGGAAGAAACACTGAAATTTAGCCTTTTTTTGTTGGGGGGGGAGGGTGGGTCCGGTCGTGGGGCCTGAACTCTGGGCCTGGGTGCTGTCCCTCAGCTCTTCAGCTCAAGGCTAGCACTCTACCACCTGAGTCACAGCACCACTTCCAGCTTTTTTCTTTTTGCTTATGTGGTACTGGGGAATCAAACCCAGGACCTCATGCATGCAAGGCAAGTGCTCTACCACTGAGCCACCTTCCCAGCCCCAAAACACTGAAATTTAGAAGTGAGATTTAGTTACACCACTATTGAATGAAACACCATGTTTCCTATTTCCCAAGAAAACAGTCATTGTTTTACTGTTTGTTGGGTTTCATAAATCTGACCTGAGGATTTACCTTTATGAATTTTGCCTAGAATTTTGGCCTTGATAATGCTTAATAAATGAAAATGACTGTTTTGAGAACAGCCTTATTATGTTTCCCAGACTAGCCTTGAACGCTCAGACTCATGCATTCCTCCTGCTTCAGCCTTCCCCTGCAATCCTCCTGCCTCAGCCTCCCAAGTAGCCAGAATTGTAGGTGTTCACCACCTTGCCCTTTGCAAGTGTTGAAGTGAATGATTGCTTGCCAAGAAAGTATGATTGCTTAAAAAAAAGTACGGTAGCTATGCCCATAAGTCCTAGGTTCTTAAGAGATTTCTTTAAAACTTAGGATTTTAAAAGTAGCCTAAGTTTCTACCCAAGAAATCATTTCCAGGGTTCCATGAAGTCACATGTTTCAAAGTGAGTCAAGTCCTCTGTAGGGTGGTTCTGAGTCAGGTTACTGTCACATGCATGTCACTGGAATTCTGTCTGGGTCAGTTAAGTGTCTCAGAAAGTCAGGGTAGAGTTACTTTTAAATAACCCAGCACAGGTAAATCCCTTCAAAAATAACCCAGCACAGGTAGATCCCTTCAAATTCACGTCTTTTTTTTCTCTCCCTCTCCATCCCGTCTGTCCCTTTCTCAACAAATAATGACAACAATTGTGGGTTTTTTGTTTAACCATAATAATTTTCTAGCAATCACTTTCTTTTCTCCCCCCCAGCTTGTTCTTTGGAAATCTCTACATATATTTTGCCTGGCAAGGGAAAACTCAAATATCAGGTTTGCTTTCTTCATGTTGCTTTATTTAGGTGTGTTCAAAGCATAATAGCATCTCTGCAGAAATACCCATTATTGTCTTACTTAAATATCGTACTAATGAACTTCACTACCCAGGGTTCTCTCAGATGTTTGCTTTTAATGGGCTTTTTGCATGGATTATGTTATTAAATGAGAATTACAGTTATGACTATTTTGTGGGATATCTCAAAGGACAAGAGCAATTGTGCTATATGCATCTTTACTGGTCAGTCCTCAGGAGCTTTTCCCTGCTGTTTTATCTGTGTACTTCTTTTGCTGTTTTCCTTTTAGCTTGTTAGTATATCTCTATCTGAAAGACAAAGGTAGAAATGCCAGTTTGTCTACTCATTTTGTTAGGTATTTTGTTTTATTTTGATTTTTTTGGTCAGTTATGAGGCTTAAACTCAGGGCCTGAGCACTGTCCCAGAGCTTTTGCTCAAGGCTACTGCTCTTCCACTTTGAGCCACAATGCCACCGATTTTTAGGTGGCCTTTCCTGCCTGGACTGGCTTTGAACCTCCATCCTCAGTTCTCAGCTGCCTGAGTAGCTAGTATTATAGGCATAAGCCACTAGTGCCCAGCTCTCAGTCTTAAGTTTTGACTAATTCATTAAAGAGGAACATCAACAAGAAAGTGTGTACAGGTCACTTAATTCTAATACTGTTTGGTCATTGCTGTCTTCTTTTTCGTAGAGAGTGACCGGAGAACAGTGTTCATTGCTTTGACTGTGATCAGCCTTGTGGGGACAGTTTTGTTCTTTCTCATTCGGAAGCCAGATCCTGAAAACGTCCTTGGAGAAGATGAATCTTCCGAGGACCAGGAACCAGAAATCAATGAGTAAGAAGCTGGAAACGTTTTTCCTTTTGTATGTGAAAAGAGAGTTTGAGTAACTCTAGAGATTACAAATCTGCTTTGCTGGAGCTGGTAACTGATAGTGTATAGGCTACACAGAGACAATGCTTTAAGGTAGAGCTGTGAGAGAGGAGGAAAGGAGGGAGGGAGGGAAGGAAATCTTTATAGAGGATTCAAATCCAGTCCTACCTTTGCCAGTGTGTGACCCTGGACTACAGCCATAATCTCTGGATGCCTCCCGGCCTGCCTTTCCTCTCTCTCTTCAGCCCCTGTTCCACCCCCCCCCCCCCACGTTTCCATGTATAAGGCTCTAGTCTTTCCCTCAGCACCTGTTCCTGCGATCCACCTCTATAGCGGTGGTAAGAGAGGGGTGGTACTGCCAGCAGTTGTCATCACTAGACGCTTGGCTTACAGTACCTGGCTTTTGTACTACCCTACTGACCTGTGTCGGTGGTTTCCCCAAAGGTGTGCAAATGGGGACGTAAGCATGAAGTCCTTTGTGTAAATCATCTGAACTCTTTTTTTTTGGTGCCTATACTGGAGCTTGACTTCAGGGCCAGGGCATTGTTCCCGAGCTGCTTTTGCTCAAGACTGACACTCTGTGGTGTTTCATTGGAGATAAGAGTCTCACAGACTTTTCCCGGCTGGCTTTCAGCCATGATCCTCAGATCTCAGCCTCCTGAGTAGTTAGGATTACAGGCATGAGCCACTGACACCGAGCTTTACCTGAACACTTTTCAATTGTGACAGTATTTGAAACTTTGTAGAATTGTCTCTATTTGAATAGAAGAAATGAGGACGTATTCCAACCATCCACCCTCATTTTTCTTTGCTTATGAGTTGTTAAATTGCAAATCTTGTCTTACAGCTTTTTTATCTATCAGAACTTTTTTTCCTCATTGAGATAGGTTTTTGCTACATACCCTGGCTGGACTCAAATTCAGGATCCTTCTGTCTCAGCCTTGTTTTTTGGTGGGTCCTGGTCGTGGGGCCTGAACTCTGGCCCTGGGCACTGTCCCTCAGCTCTTCAGCTCAAGGCTAGCGCTCTACCACTTGAGCCACAGCGCCACTTCCGGCTTTTTTCTTTTTGCTTATGTGGGGCTAAGGAATTGAACCCAGAGCCTCATGCATGGCTCTACCACTGAGCCACCTTCCCAGCCCCCTGTCTCAGCCTTCTGAGTGCTGGGACTACAAAGCAGGTGCCACACTCTGACTATTGTTTACATATGTGTATATCATATAGATACATATAACCATGCATGTACTGAATAACAAGGTTTCTGTCAGCCATGGACTGCATGTAGAGCACGGGCCCCTGAGGTTAGATTGCTTGGTGAGGCCAGCCAGCTGAGTTCCCATGAGTGCCCTCTGTGGTATTTGCTTATTAAAATTGCCTAATGAGGCATTTCTCAGAATGTTGTCTGGACATTGACAATTATGTTTAAAGCATGGACTAGTAGATATTGGAGAAGATGAGGTCAGAATATTGCTTTGCTTACTTAGCATTTATCTTTAGCTTTGTCTCCAGAAGGTAAAACTTCTGTGTCTTTGTTTTGCAGATAGCACTGGACCATGTGCCAGCCCTCCCTTAAACCTGGCACAGTTAGATTATGCAAGAGGAGATAGGAGTTTGCACTTGAATCTTGGTGTGTTTGGAAGCCTTTGGCGGTGTAGGCAGGACCTGGTGGTGAACCTTACAGAAAATGCCAACAAGCAGTTCACATCTGCCTTTTTATCTCAAGTTCATGTAGTATATATCTGAGGACCTAGAGCTGATGATCTCTAGATCCTCCTACCCTTCCTGCCTGCCTGCCTGCCCTGCCTGCCTGCCTGCCTGCCTTCCTTCCTTCCCTCCTTCCTTCCCTCCTTCCTTCCCTCCTTCCTTCCCTCCTTCCTTCCTTCCTTCCTTCCTTCCTTCCTTCCTTCCTTCCTTCCTTCCTTCCTTCCTTCCTTCCTTCCTTCCTCCCTCCCTCCCTCCCTTCCTCCCTTCCTCCCTTCCTTCCTCCCTTTCTCTCTTTCTCTCTTTCTTCCTTCCTTTCTTTCACTCTTTCTTTCTTTTCCTGTGCCAGTAATAGTGCCTTGGCTTTTTTACTCAAAACTGGCAGTCTACTTCTTTTTTTTTTGGTCCGGTTGTGGGGCCTGAACTCTGGGCCTGGGCGCTGTCCCTCAGCTCTTCAGCTCAAGGCTAGCGCTCTACCATTTGAGCCACATGGCACTCTACTTCTTGAGCCACAGTTCTACACAATACTAGCTTTACAATGGTTAAGTTTCCTGGCTGTTAACCACGATCTTTAGATCTCAGCCTCCTGAGTAGCTAGGATTACAGGTGTAAGTCACCTTTTGTACCAGTAATTTGATTATTCTGAAGCCCCAGCCTCTCCCTTAGGTAGATAGTGAGGTACATAAATAGGTAGATTGCTTTCTTTTCTTCACTTTTTTTAACCCCTCCATCTTTCCTTTCCTCCATCTTTCCCTGTCTCCCTCCTTCTTTCCTTCTTTCCTATATTATTTAATGATCTGGGGATGTAAACTTGGCTGATAGGGCAAGAATTTTAATTTTTTTTGCCATAATCTTTTTATTAGTCATACCTAAAATTGCATTATCTCACTGTCTCCCACAGGTAAAAAATAGAATTATTTTATAAATAAGGAAATGAAAGTAATTTGTCAAATCACCTGACAGTGGCCAAGTCAGGATTCCAAAGCCCATGTTATTTTTGTTTTGGTTTGTTTTGGTTTGGTTGGTGGGGGTGTGTGTCATGGGGCTTGAACTCAGGGCTTGGGTGCTGTTCCTAAGCTTTTCTGCTCAAGGCTAGCACACTACCACTTTTAGCCACGGCTCCACTTCTAGTTTTCTGGGGTTAATTGGAAATAAGAGTCTCACAGACTTTCTTGCTGGGGCTTGGTTTCAAACCTCAATCCTCAGATCTCAGTGTCCTGAGTAGTGAGCCACCAGTGCCTGGCCAAAGCCTATGTTTATAACCAGAAGGTTGCCCTGAATATCAGCCATGTCACACAGAAGGTAGTCATGCGTTTGAAGAATGTTAGTACTGGAAGGCTTATTTTTACATAATACAGACGATGGGAAATTGAGTACCGGGGGATTATTATAGCAAGCTAGAATGCTCTTGTGTTCTACCTGCAGTGTCGCTTTTGAAACGGGAGTAGTCAACATTTGTAGTAAGCTTATCCTGAGCCTTGTCTTTCACTGCTCACAGTAGCGCGGTGCTGGGCAGCAGGTATGATGAACACAGTTTATGTAGTGAGGCCTGGAGCCGGGAAGGGACCCCGGGAGCAAGGAGCATTCAGAGTCATCGCAAATATGTGCTAGCCCACATAGAGGACAGAGCTTTTTTTTTTGGACTTAAGTGAACTAGATAAGTATACAGTTGGGTAGGATGAGGCTGTTTGCTCTCTTTTTAATTGTCAAGGGAAAAATTATTTCATTTTATTTCCTCAGGTCTGCCCAGAGCAATATGACAAAGGCAGTAGAAGCATTTAGTAAGTATTTTCTGTGTCTGAAATTCAAGGTCAATTGGGGAGTGCCTTTAGTTGTTTTGCTTTTCCCTTTGCCCTGGAATCTTGGGACTAGTGGTTCCCCAGGGTTTTTATTTTTCCAGGTATGCAGCTCAAAAATACATGAGTCTCTTTCAGTTGCCTAACATGGGGTGTGGGGTTAATGTAACATGACTGCCCTCCTGAGCAGGTGGGGCGGGAAGGAAGCTAGGCTCTCAGGAGAGGACAGGGTGAGTTCACACAAGAGGTAAGAGCAGATGGTTTGCCCAGCCTGAGATCAGACCAAGGCTGCAAGGAGCAGTGGTTCTTAAGAGCTGTCCTACTCGTCCTCTGATAGATCTCTCTGGTCAGGAACTCTGCTAAGCTCTCCCCTTGCTTTCCTGATTCTCACAACAGTTTGTTATCATCATCTCCATATTAGAGACGAGAAAATTCTTCAAGAAATTGTCACTTAAGACTAAAGGCTCAAGGAGAACATGAAGCACTGAGTTCAAGCCCCAGTACTTGTGGGGGGGAGGGGAGGAGATGCCACTGAGTCTTCCGGTCTGCTGGTTCTTTTCCTCTTGGGTACTGTGCACCAGTAGTTCCGGTCACAGACAGGGCATTTTAACCAGTGGCCAGTGCATGGAAATGGGGAGCCGTCTGTGTGGTTGGGAGTGTGATAAGTTGAGGGAGCATGTGGTTATCAGCATCCATGCTTTAACTTTGACAGGCCGGCAGCATCTTGCTGACAAGACAACAGGCTATTGCTAATTTGGGTTTTCAAGCTGGTTAAAAGAAGAAGAAGAAGAAAATTACCCCAAGTCAGTAGTAGATGGCTGAGCTATGGCTTGAGTACAAACTTTGAGCCAGTGGTGGACTTCAGTGGCCCCTCAGCCACAGGCAATGGCATTTGATTTGAGGCTCTCTTGGTCGAGGGCAACTATCCTCCATTGGGAGTAGCCTTTCTGGGCCACAGTCTGAGTAAGTCTACTGTTAACTGGCTGGTCTTAGTGGGGGACAGCCCCTATGGCTGCTAAGTTTGACTGGTTGTTACATTGATAGAGAAATTGTTGCTCTAATCAGCTGGCCCAGATGACACAGGCGTTTTTGCTTTTGGCAAGGATTTCCTATAGCCTGTTTGTTTTTTATCCCCCCTCTGGTTCTAGTCCTGGAACTCAGGCGCTGTCCTGAGCTGCTTTTGCTCAAGGCTGGCACTCTGACACTTGAGCCACAGCTCCACTTTCAGTTTTTGAGATTTTTTTTGTTTTGGTAGTTTATTAGAGACCAAGAGTCTCCTGAAGCTGGGCACTGGTGGCTCATGCCTGTAATCCTAGCTGCTCAGGAGGATCGTGGTTTGAAGCTAGCCCAGCCAGAAAAGTTCATGAAAATCTTCTCTTCAGTTAACCACCAGAAAAACCAGAAGTGGTGCTGTGGCTAGAGAGCTAGCTTTGACCAGAAAAACCCAGGGGTAGCACCCAGACCCTGAGTGACCACCCAGCCTCATAATTGACACAAAAAAAACAAAAAACAGTCTCATGGACTCCCCTGCCCAGTCAGGCTTCAAACCATGATCTTCAGATCTCAGCCTCCTGAGTAGCTAGAATTACAGGTGTGAGCCACCGGTTCCCAGTCCTGTAGCATGTGTCCACTGAGGCCTGAACCTTGAGTAGAGACTATTTCTTTTTTTGGGGGGGGTGGGGGGTCTGGTCGTGGGGCCTGAACTCTGGGCCTGGGCGCTGTCCCTCAGCTCTTCAGCTCAAGGCTAGCACTCTACCACTTGAGCCATAGCGCCACTTCCGGTTTTTTTCTTTTTGCTTATGTGGTGCTGGGGAATCAAACTCAGGGCCTCAGGCATGCAAGGCAAGCACTCTACCACTGAGCCACCTTCCCAGCCCCGAGACTATTTCATTAAAGCTGTTTTACCAGGCTTTTTAGTTTGTGTACTTAGTGCATTTCAGGAAATCCTTCATAATTATAAATTAAGTTACATGTAGAATTGGGTAGGTTATAACCTGATCACCCTGCAAAGTCTGCCTCTCAGCTTTGCAGGTCTAGGAACATGACTGTCAGTAGATCCACTATTGATCAAAGGGCACAAGTTAAATCAGCTCACAGAAATTGAGATTTAATAACGTGTGAAAGCTTGTAATACTTATTTATTTTTGTTAGTCATGGGGCTTGAACTCCGGGCCTTGGCACTGTCCCTCAGCTCATCAGCTCAAAGCTAGCACTCTACCACTTGAGACACAGTGCCATCTCTGGTTTTCTGATGGTTTATTGGAGATAAGAATCTCATGGACTTTCCTACCTGGGCTGGCTTTGAACCGTGATCCCAGATCTCAGCTTCCTGAGTGGCTAGGATTACAGGCATGAGCCACTGGTACCCAGTAGCTTGTAATATTTTAAAGCGAGCTCTTTTGTTTTTGGTTTTTTTTTGCCTGTCATGGGGCCTGAACTCTGGGTCTGGGCACTGTCCCTCAGCTCTTCAGCTCAAGGCTAGTGCTCTACCACTGGAGCCACAGCGCCACTTCCGGCTTTTTCTGTTTATGTGGTGCTGAGGAATCGAACCCAGGGCCTCATGCTTGCAAGGCATGCACTCTACCGCTGAGCTACCTTCCCAGCCCCAAGCGAGCTCTTTTGGACCTGGCTGTTTCCTTCTTTTTCTCAGAGGCCTAGAAGGCCAAGCTGGCTTGTTGATGTGCCTCAGGGTAGGAGAGGGAGATGGGAGATAGATAGCTTCGGGACTTATGATGTTTCTGGAGTATTTAAGTGAGATTTTTATTTGTTTTTATTATCTAAGTGAGATCTTTAAAATTTATTTTTGAGAAGTGATAAAGTTCTTTTGTTAGACTAATTGTCTGGAAACAGGACTGAGCTCTACAAAAAAGGAATTGAGGACTTACACTCTGATAAACTTTAAAGCATTCTTCGAATTATTTTGAAAACACTGAAACAAAAGGCAAAGTTTATGACATAGAAGAGTGCAGGGACACAATAAAAGCAAGTCTTGGCCTAGCATGGTGTCGCACTTATTTCCAGCCACCCAGGGAGGCAGAGGTACGAGGATCTGTTCCAGGTTGGCCTGGTTAAAAAGCCTAAGATCTTTCTTTTTTCTTTTTTTTTGGGTCCGGTTGTGGGGCCTGAACTCTGGGCCTGGGGGCTGTCCCTCAGCTCTTCAGCTCAAGGCTAGCGCTCTACCACTTGAGCCACAGCGCCACTCCTGGCTTTTTTCTTTTTGCTTATGTGGTGCTGAGGAATCTAACCCAGGGCCTCAGGCATGCAAGGCACGCGCTCTACCACTGAGCCATCTTCCCAGCTCTTAACAAAAAAGTAATCAAAGCAAAAAAGGCTTGGGGTATGGCCCAAGTGGCAGAGTGCCTACCTAACAAGTGTAAGCCCTGAGTTCAAACATAAAAGTTTAACTTGTCAGGGCTGTGGCATACTCTAATCCTGACTCAGGAGGCTGAGGATCATGGCTCAAAACCAGTCTGGCTAGACAAATCCATGAGACTCTTAGGAAGTACCCTAGCTTTTATATGGTCAGCGTCCCTCCTTGAGGCCAGCCTTCAATCTGCCCTGTGATGCCCCCAGGAAGTACATGCTGCCAGTGGCCCACTTTGACCCCTGCCTTCCCAAGTCTTTTCCCCTCTTGTTTGGTTCTGTTTTTTTCCACATGTTCCTGTTCTAAGAGCTGAAGAATACCTTGAGAAAAATGGTACTCAGCGCATACTTAAGCCCTTGAAACAGTCTGTGTATTGGGCAGATTTAGTTCATACCTTATGAAGTTTAATCTGAAAAAACTGTAACTTGAGTCACAACATATTTGTTTGCTGGTTTTGTTACTAGTGAAGAAATGGTTTCGGACTTGTACAGATAAATTTGGATGTATTTAAGTCTCCTGACTTCTTTGTCTTTGCAGAAAAGTCTCTGAGGTTGTGTGTCACCAAGGAGATGCTGCTTCTCAGTGTTACAACCGCTTACACAGGTAACACTTGCCCCCATCTTGTCTGTCTCTCCCTGTGTCCGCCTTGTCGCCCCCCCTGCCAACTGTGTACCCTGCCCATCTCACTGACTCCTCTAGGAGGAGACCTTGGAACATTGCAGAAGAGCCAGATCTCTTAGTTGCCCAAACAAACAACAGAAAAAACTAGCACAAAGAGCTCCCTGAGGTTGGGCCTGGATAAAGCGTAGGGTCACCTTTGCTGTATTCTGCTGAGGATAGTTTGTGCAAAGACAGCAAATGCCAGGCTCATGGCTCACAAGAACCAGCAAATTTAAGGCAGTTGGGAGCGCTGCAGGAAATAGCCAGGAACATATCACTGAAACTATGTACGCTAGGAGCACTTCTTTGTGGTAGTAGGATTTCAACCCAGATCCTAGGGCTTGCTAGGAGGTGCTCTACCACTGAGCCATTCCTCCAGTATTCATTATGCCACCTGGGCTGGCTTGGAACTCAGACTCCGCCCACCTTCCCCAGGTGCTAGGGATCCCAGGTGTATGTGGCCAGGCCCACTAAGATCAGGTAATGAATTGGAAGCAGGTGATAATGTGATGTGCTGACAGGTGGAGCCCTGGGGCTTGAGAATAAAGAGGACGTCATTTCCTTTCCAAATGTGCTGCAGTGTACCATTTAATACTTTGCCTTGTGTTTTTAGGAGAAATAGAAAAACAGAACATCTCTTGGACTAGGGACATGGCTCAAGTGGTAGAATGCCAGCCTAGAAAGCATAAGGCCCTAAGTTCAAACCCCAGTACTCCCCAAAACAAAAAAGATCCTCAAATCAAACGTCTTTATGATTTACTTTGAAGATTTTTAACACTAAGGAATTAAGGTTACTGACATCCTAACTTTTTACTGTAACTTTAGGAATTTTCTTTTCCTAGAAGGAAGGTTTAATGAAACTACCATGTGAGTACTGTGAATAATGAATGGTGGAGTGGTTTTTCAGTGTAGCAAGAATAGTTGAACTGAATGAGGTGGCTCACGCCTGTGGAGATCAGGAAGATTGCAGTTCAAGGCCAGCTCAGGCAAAGAAGTAGCACATACACATACCTGTCATCCCAGCTGCATGGAAGCATAAATAGAGGGATCACAATCCAGGACGGTCTGGGCATATTTGAAACCCTAATGTAAAACTAAGTAGAAAAGGGCTAGGGGGCATGACTCAAGTGGTAGTGTACCCACATAGCAAGTACAAGTTCCTAAGTTCAAACCCCTAAATATGGTTGAAAGAAAAAGAATGGGACTAGTTCTCATAAGAATAGTGTTCACTGTTACAAGTTCATGTTAGTTATATCCTCTGTCTCTTGCCTCCCTATAAGCAGAGTGACAGGTTTCAGCCTTAGGATACCTCTTTCTTGAGTTATATGAGTTGTTTTGTGTTGGTCTTGAGGCTTGAAATCAGGGTTTGGATATTGTCCCTTGAGCCACAACTCCACTTCTGGCTTTTTGGTGGTTATTTGGAGATGAGAGTCTTAGGGCGGGGTGCCGGTGGCTCATGCCTATAATCCTAGCTACTTACAAGGCTTGAGATCTGACAGTTGTGGCTCAAAGCCAGCCAGGCAATTGCCGGTGAGACTCCAGAAGTGGTGCTGTGGCTCAAGTGGTAGACCACTAGCCTTGAGCACAGAGGCTTAGAGCCCAAACCCTGAGTTCAAGCCCCAGGGCTGGCAAAAAAAAAAAAAAATTCTTAATGGACTTCCCTGCCTCAGCCAGCTTCAAACCTTGGTCCTAAGATCTGTCTCCAGAGTAGCTAGAATAACAGGCGTGAGTCACCAGTGCCCCATGAGTTGTGTGTTTTTATCTGATCTGTTTGTCAACTGCTTTCTTGTGGTGTCTTAGCTTACAGTGCTATCCCAAATTACTGTAGCCCCGGTGGTTGAAGTAACAGGTATTGTTTCTCACAGTTCTGGAGGCTGAGCATCTTGAGACCAGGCTGTCAGCCTGGTCAGGTTCTGGGTGAGGGACACTTCCCAGTTTAGAGATGGCTGTCATCTTGTAGGCGCTCATGGGAGACAGAGAAAGCTCTTTGGTGTTTGTCCAAAGGACACTAATCACATCATGAGGTTCCACCTTCGTTGTGTAGTTGATTACCTCTTGCACACCACTTCTGCAAATGTCATTACGTCCTGGGGGGTTTTAAGATCTCAAGTCCACACTGTGTGGCTTATTCCCTTCCAACAGTTCTGTGAATAGCAGAAAGTCAGGTTGTGCCTGGAAGGTGCATTTCAGCCCCTATGCGTTGTTCTGTTTTCTTTATTTATGTAGACAGGAAGAAAAACTAGGGAAAGGAGGATGTAGATGTAAAGCTTAATTAAATCTGATTTTTCCCCCCCAAAGGTCTGGAATTAACTTTTTTCTCTGGTGTATATGGAACCTGTATTGGTGCTATGAACAAATTTGGAACAGAAGAGAAAAGCCTGATTGGACTGTCTGGAATTTTCATCGGCATTGGAGAAATTCTAGGTTCGTTACATGCAAAATACCAGTGCAGTGCTGGGCACTGGTGGCTCAAACCTGTGGTTCTAGCTTACTCTGAAGGCTGAGATCTGAAGATCACAGTTGAAAGCCAGCCTGAGGAGGAAAGTCTGTGAGATTCTTATTTCTGATTAATCACCAAAAAGCTGAAAATGGAGCTGTGGCTCAAGTGGTAGAGCCCTAGCCTAAAATAGCTCAGGAACAGTGCTCATGCCCTGCATAACAAAAGAAGAAAAGAAAGAAACCATAAATACAGCCTGGCTTAGAATCCTTGAGGAGCAAGTCTAGGAACCCTGGCTTGGTAGCTCTGATTCTCAGTACCATTTGTGTGTCCATCAGTTCAAGCCTGTCTCATGCCAACTCTAGAATTAGGGCCTAACTCCTGGCGAAAGACAGAATTTAAAAATAATAATAAAATCTCAGTTGTCTCGTTCGTGTGTGTTTGTGTGTGTGTGTATATGTGTGTGCGTGTGTGTACACAGGCCTCAGTAAGTCCACTCCAGAATGCCCCTCTGCTTTCTACTGCTAGCAGAAGCCCCTCCCCTGCTTCCTGTTTGCTTACTTATTTACTCTTAGGATGGGCCTGTCATTTCCTATTTTTCCCAAATGGTTTATCACTCAAAACAGCACCGAATTGTTATGGTGCTGCTGTGGTCCCAGCTGTGGCCAGGGAGCCATTCTGAGTAGGCTTGTGTGTCCCAAGGGCCTCTGCCACACAGGTGTCCCTGGCTCCTCTGGCCTTCCCTGCCCCAACCCCTGGAATCCCCCAGACTCATGGCTCCAGAGTACCTGCTGAACAAACAGGCTGAGCAAGCAGGAGGCCCTGAGTTCAAACCCTAGTATTAGTTCTTGCCTCAGTGATCTCACTGATACCACAGAGATAGTAATTTTGTGTATGGCTATTACTGTTTTGGGACTTTGCATTCTATTGCATTAGTACCTTGCTGTGTGAATATTTTGTTTTTGTTTTTGGTGCCTGTCCTAGGGCTTAAACTCATGGCTTGGGCTCTGTCCTAAAGCTTTTTTGCTCAAGGCTGGTATTTGTTGAACCACAGCTATACTCTGGCTTTTTGGTGGTGAATTGGAGATAAGAGTCTGGTAGATTTGTCTGCCTAGGCTGGCTTCAAACTGGTATCCTCAGATCTCACCTACAGATGGGGTTTTGTGTGTGTTCCATTACAGTGAAGCTCCTCTCCAATCAGAGCTCTTGCTCTTCTTACGTTTTTCTTTTTTCTGTTTTCTTTTTTTTTTTTTTTAGTGCCAGGTCTGAGGCTTGAACTCAGGGCCTGGGTGCTGTCCCTGAACTTTTGTGCTAAGACTAGTGGTCTACCACCTGAGCCACAGCTACACTTTTGGCTTTTTCTGGTGGTTAATTGGAGATAAGAGTCTCACAGACTTTCCAATGAGGCTGGTTTTGAGTCGCGATCCTCATCTCTAACCCCCCCTGAGGAGCTAGGATTATAGGCGAGAGCCACTGGCACCTGGTATGTTTGTTTTTCCATCTGGGCTTTTAGGACTAGTTTGCCTAACTCCAAGGAAAACCTCACTGGATCTAAATGGAGATAAAATACACTTGATGTCCCCAACTTCCATGAGATGACCTTTGCCCTACCCAGTGCCCTGTGAATGAAGTCTCCCAAGGGTCTGGATGGTGAAGCGCCATCCACTCCCAGGGCAAGGTCCTCCCTGATAGCGCGGGTCCTACTGGTGGTTCTTTTCCCTGGCCTCTGCTAATGCACTCCACGATGCTGAAGATAAAGAGCGCCCCCTGCTGATAGCACGGGGGACTGCTGGCTCTATCACAGACAGCCAGTCTTAGCTCTGTTAATACCCAGGCTCCTTCTTGTGCTACAACTTGATTAGGAAAGGATCTGCCAAAATGTTCTCCAGGGGCTGTGCCAGCCAGAATCCTCACCAGCATTTGGTGGTGTCAGCACTACTTACTAAAATATATTTTTAATTCTTTGTGTGTGCTGACGCTGGGCCCAGCTTGAGCTCAGACACACACTCTCACTGGGCTTTTTTCCACTCAAGGCTGGCCCTCTACCACTTCCGCCACACCTCCACTGATGATATATCTTTGGTACATGACTGTAGATTTTGACACATGGTACAGTGTGACATTTCAGTACATCTTTGGTCAGTGTGTAATGATCAGGGATTAGGGGAGGGTAACCAACACACAGCCTTCATTCGTTTCTTTGTGTTGGGAAAACTGGATGTCCTTTCTAGTAGCTACTTTGAGATATTCCACTGATTTCCACCAACTATAGTTAGTCCACTGTGCTATGGAACAGTAGATGTTTTCAGCTGCCATCCTTCCCCCAGTGTGTTAGGGTTGGTACCCAGATCCTTGGACATACTAGGCCAGCACCATGCCACTCAGGGTGGTACAGATTTATGTTTGTTGGTACAGTAAGAATTTTAAAAGTGACAACTCGTGGTCTTCTGTCCTTGTGCTGTCGAGAGTCTATGCTGTTCCCATTGTGAAACCTTCATGAAGCCCTTTTCCCTGTGGAAAAGGGGTCGTGGTCTCTAGCAGCTGTGATTGAGCGGTTGTGCCCTTTTGAAACTTCTGTAAGTTTCTCTTATAAGCTGTAATTCAAAAGAGGTTGCTTTGGGGGTATAACAGTTCATTCGAGAAGAGCAGGACCATTACAGAACTGCTACTTCATATTCAGTTGTAGTCATTAGTATCTGTTCGTCATTGCTGCAAGTGCGTTTGTGGGGAAGATATTGGACAGTTGAGGACATTCATTCCTTGGATTAGAACTCAGAACTAGTTAAATAACTTGCTGGTACCATTAGTGATATGTCTGCCATCTTGGTTTCTAGGTGGAAGCCTCTTTGGCCTGCTGAGCAAGGATAATCGTTTTGGTAGAAACCCAGTGGTGCTGTTGGGCATCCTGGTGCACTTTATAGCTTTTTACTTAATATTTCTCAACATGCCTGGAGATGCCCCAATCGCCCCTGTGGAGGGAACCAACAGCAGTGCCTACATCAGACCAAGGTATAGTTACCACCACCACCCTTGACTTGAGGGAGGGTGGGTGGGAGGAAAGGGTCACTGGGTATTTGGAAGAGAGCCCTAATCCTCCTCAGAGAGGCTCTTCTCTTTAAAAGGTCATCTGTCAAATGTTAATGGAGCCAGAATGAGTTTAAGTAGAAATCCTTAGAGATTCCCAAGTTATTTTGCAATGGTTGCTTTTAACCTTTTCTCCTGCTAAATCTGCCTCCTCATCAAGGAAGGAGCATAGAGGATCTGATCTGAATTTTATATTTCTGCATTAGTAGTAACCTATCCCAAAGTTAGGGCTTGGAGGAACAGCAAAGGGGAGAAGGGTGGTGAGGGAGACTGCCAGCTGGGGGTTCACAAGAGTTTGGAGGCAATTGGTTGATTGCATTCTACTCTTAAATTCATTATAGATACAGATGTTTGTGTATGTATCCATAACTCTGAGTGGAGCAGAGCCTAAAAACCAGTTTTGGCGTCTCAGATAGTAGACTAGAGCTTGCTCAAATGTGAAGCCATGTGCATTTGAGTCTAATTTCTGACCGTAAATCCTACTGTAGGAGCTGGAGAGTAGCATGTTCCAGCATATGCAAGGGCCTGGACACCAGCCCCAGCATTGCAAGACAGACCTGAAAATTCTAGGATCCATTTATCTTTGTTCCCACATGGTTAAATGCTTTTGTGGGTGAGTTGCTTTTATATTTTAAGTAGCTCTGAATCAATCTGTATTTTCTTTAGCAAAGAAATCGCCATCCTGTGCAGTTTTCTGTTGGGCCTGGGAGACAGCTGCTTCAATACCCAGCTGCTCAGCATCCTGGGCTTTCTCTACTCTGAAGACAGTGCTCCAGCCTTCGCTGTCTTTAAGTTTGTTCAGGTAACCATCCAAATCATGTTGAAAGTGCTTTGCCTTCATGCTTACCTGTTTTTATTTGGTCATTTCTTTTATGGGTTGGGTTTTTTTTTTTTTAAGGTATGCATGTGCCAGTCTTGGGGTTTGAACTCAGGGCCTAGGTGCTGTCCCTGAGCTCTTGTGCTCAAGGCTAGCACTCTATCACGTGAGTCCCAGCTCTTCTTTTAGCTTTTTTTTGGTGGTTAATTGGAGATAAGAGCCTCATGGGCTTTCCTGCCCAGGTTGACTCATTTCTCAGCCTCCTGAGTAGCTAGCATTAGAGGAGTGAGCCACTGGCGCTTGGTGCTATTGTGGTTTTTAAATGGAAATCAGGGGATTTTGGAGGGATTTTGAGTAGAACCAGGAAGCAGTGAGCTTCCCCCTACTTGGAGACAAAGAGTGTCCATTCTGGTCTCTGCGCTTAGATGAGAGATTTCCCTTCACCCACCACGCAGACAAGTGCTTTTCCCAACCTGCATGTTATCGGCAGCGTGCTGCTGGAAGGAGGAGAGGCTGATCTCTGCTGTCCACAGAGCCCGTGGTGCCTGCCTGCTGGGGAGGTAGTGACAAGTGAAGTTGTGTCTGCGGGGAAAGCGAGTGCTGTCCTGGGGGTCAGGAGTATCGGAGCTGGCTATGGAGCTGCCTATGGAGTCGTTCAGCCCTGTGGGCACTCTGATATGTCTCATTTCTTTGTAGTCCATCTGCGCAGCCGTAGCGTTTTTCTACAGCAACTACCTTCTCCTTCACTGGCAACTCCTGCTCATGGTGGTGTTTGGGTTCTTCGGAACGATTTCATTCTTCACTGTGGAATGGGATGCTGCCGCCGTCGTGGCCCGGGGCTCTGAGTACCGAAGCATTTGATGAGGTGCCGGGGAAGGGAGGCGTGTACCTTCGGAGACCGCGGCTGCTCCAGAGCTGGCTGCAGAAGCTGTCTAGCATTTCCACAACGCGTGGATGATGCGAGTGTGGAAAAATCAAAGCCTGAGACTGTTCCATCAGACAGAGTCGGTACTGAAGTTTACAGCTGCTTGGCTACTTAACAAGCGGAATAAGGGAATCCTGTTGTGTGGTTATAATTGTTCAAAGATGTTGTTTTCTGATTCACCTATCTCAAGTTCTTTATAATCATGTTAGACAGTGCAGAGGTTTTCTTCTCTCTCCTGTGCCCATTGAGCCATCCTGCCATTGTCCTACAGAGAGCCTCGCTGGGCGAGGCAAGCTTGCTGTGTGCTACGGAGATGCCCAGGCCACGCCACACGGGCACTGTGGAGCAGTCCTATGCTGAGGTGCATCTGACTTCAAAAAGATGGCTTCCTCTTGGAGTGCTTCGCTCCCAAAGTTCTCTTACCTTCCTCATAGCAAGACGGGCCAATTAAGTATTATAAAATGAGGTAAACATTGTCTCGCTTAAAATGTAAGTGCAACATCTGTGACAAAAACAAAAACATTGGAAAGTTAAGCTAAGGGAGGGCTTTTGCTAGTCATTTTCCTGAAAGATACAATGCAAACAACAACAAAAACCCCAGCAAGTTCTAGGGCTAAGTTAGACCCCCTCAGTCGCTGTGCTACAGAAATGGGGCAGAACTATTTGGAAAATGTTTAAATGCAAATGTTCACTTCCTCCATAAAATTCTGAAAATTGCAATATACTTCAGAAACCATAAAATTCACCATTTTAAAAAAGAGTACAATTTCATGGGCTTTTTTTTTTTTCTTCTTTTTAATTGTGCTGGTCCATGGGCTTGAACTCAGGACCTGGTGCTGTCCCTAAACTTTTTCACTCAAGGCTGGCGTTCTTACCATTTGAGTCACACCTCCACTTCTAGCCACTTCCAGTGGTTAATTGGTGTCTCATGCCTGTAATCCTAGCCACCCAGGAGGCTGAGGTCTAGGATCACATTTCAAAGCCAGTCCAGGCAGGAGACTCTTACCTCAATTAAACACCACAGAACTGGAAGTGGCACTGTGGCTCAAAGTGGTAGAGTGCTAGCCTTGAGCAAAAAGAGCTCAGGGACAGTGCCCAGGCCCTGAATTTAAGCCCACAATCAACAAAAAACAAAAAAACATCAGTGGACTTTCCTACCCAGGCTGGCTTTGAACTCAAGCTCCTTAGTAGCTAGAATTATTTCTGAGCAACAGGTACCCATCTTCATGGGTTTAAAAAACAAACAACAAACAAAAAAAAAGCCTCTTATTTACAGGGTTGTATACTCATCACCATTATTAAATTCTAGTACATTACCATACTTCATTATACCCTGCCAAAAGTTTAGAAATGTTATCATTGACTTGAAAATCCAATGAAATGCAATGAGTTGATTTTCAGGTGTTTTTTTTTTGTTTGTTTTTGCTTTTGCTGGTCCTGGGACTTGAACTTGGGGCCTGGGCTCTGTCCCTGAACCTCTCTCTGCTCAAGCCTTAGCACTCTACCACTTGAACCACAGTGCTACTTCCGGCTTTTTCAATTTATGTGGTACTGAGGAATCGAATACAGGGTTTCATGAACTCAAGCACTCTACCACTAAGCCACATTCCCACCCCGATTTCCATGTTTGATGACAGGAATTGTTAGCTTAAATTTTTAGGGAATCTCACCTTTGGGCAGCTCTAAATTCTCCTCTTCCAGACTTAAAATTGTACTTGTCTTTTTCTTGTGCAATATTGGAATGTGAACTCAGGGCCTTATGTTTGCTAGGTAGGCATTCTGCTTCTTGAGCCATGCCTCCAGCCGTTGTTGTGCTTTATTTTTTAGGTAAGATCTTGCGTTGGTTAGCCTTGGACTGCAGCTCCCCTCCTTAAGCCTCTTATATAGCTTTGGATTATAGGCACATACCACCACACCTGGTTTGTTGGCTGAAATGGGGCTTCACGCCGGCCTCAAACTTCGTTCCTCCTAATCGCTGCCTCCCGTATAGCTGGGATGATAGGTATGCACTGCCACGCAATGCCTGATATTCTTTCTTGAAGTTGAGGTAACCTCAATTAGCTTAGTTGGCCGTATAAGAAAAATTTCTAGGGGCTGGGAAGGTGGCTCAGTGGTAGAGCACTTGCCTTGCATGCTCAAGGCCCTGGGTTCGATTCCTCAGCACCACATAAGCAAAAAGAAAAAAGCCGGAAGTGGCGCTGTGGCTCAAGTGGTAGAGTGCTAGCCTTGGGCTGAATTGCTGAGGGACAGCGCCCAGGCCCAGAGTTCAGGCCCCATGAACGGACCCAAAAAAAAAAAGAAAAATTTCTAAATGCCTGTTTAAGACATAGCAGAAATGGTCTGCTATCTTTGGAAGTGCATTATTGTTTATGTAGGTGTTAGGCTTTTCTAATGAAAGTATAGTAAGTTCCCTCCCAGCCTAGCTGTTTGTGAGCACACACGCCAGTGCCCCCAGGTGTGCAGCTGATCTGGGCTGCGGCTGTCAGGGCTGCAGCGCCGTGTCCCCAGCTTGCTTGTGCCATTGACAGCAGGAGTTTGTCACGGCTTGTTGGCCTAAGGGTCCTAGCTTCGGATAGCTCTAGTCTGCAGACTGCCCTCTGTCCCCAGTCTTCCGGAGCTGTCCTCCAGGCCAGCCCTCTACACGGCAGCTGTCTTTACCAAAGAATGCTACAGGAAAAGCCACGGAGTCAGAGCAGGGCAGAATTCCTCATCCCACCACCCTGGCCACATGGTACGTGAAATGCCAGTGGCCAGTCCCAGCCTGGACTCACGCCTGAGTGGGTTCTGGGGCTGCCCATCACCCCGGGGCTCCCACGAGCGGACCCCCACCACCACAGAGCATCTGCACAACCAGGTGAATGATGGGTTTGATTCAGGAAGCTGTATCCTGTGGCACTGTGGGGTTCCTGCTGATTCTGATCAAAGGGACCTGGAATGAAGCGGGGTGTTGGGGTATCTGGGTCGGGAATCCAGCTTGCCCTGCCTCCCCCTTGGTTTTACTTATTTTAAGCTTGAGTATGTATATGTGCGCTCATGAATTCAGGGCTTAAGTACTCTTGATTTTCTTTTTTGCTCAAAGCTGGCTTTCTACCCCTTGAGCCATAGCTCGCTTCTGGCTTTTTGCTGGTTAATTGGATGTCTCACAGACTTTGCTGTCGAAGCTGGTTTTGAACCATGATCCTCCGATTTCAGCCTCCTGAGTAGCTATCAATTCTTTAAATGAATGTACGTGAGTTGTTAGGGGGCTTGTTGTGACATTTCCACATAGTGTTCCCCTGTCAGCCTCACCGCCTCTGTCACTCCTCCATCCTCCTTCCTTCCTTCCCCTTCGGACAATTTCAGCAGGTTTCATTGTGCTATTTTCATACATACAAATAAACTATATGGACCATATCTGTCCTCATTCAGCCTCTTTGTTAGCCCTCCCCTCCTGAGATTGTGCCTGTGTCCCCTCAACCAAGCCTGTTCTGTTTTTCTGTCAATCATTTCTGTCTCTCTCTCTCCTTCCTTCCTTCCTTTCCTCCTTCCTTCCCTTCTCCCTTCTTCCCTCTCTCCTTCCCTCCCTCCCTCTCTCTCTCTTTTCTTTCTTTCCTTCTTCCTTCCTTCCCTCCTTCCTTCCTTCCTTCCTTCCTTTCTTTCTTTCTTCCTTTCTTTCTTTCTTTGCATCAGCCCTGGGGCTTGAAATCAGGGTCTGGGAACTGTTCCTGAGCTTTTGCATTCAAGACTAGCACACTACCACTTGCACTGTAGCTCACTTCTGGCTTGCTTATTCGTTTATTTATTTGTTTATTTTCAGATCCTGGGGCTTAAACTCAAGGACTGGGCATTGTCCCTGAGCCTCTTTGTGCTTAAGGCTAGCTCTCTACCACTTGAGCCACAGGGCCACTTCTGACTTTTCCTGAGTAGTTTATTAGAGGTAAGAGTTTCACAGACTTTCCTGCCCGGCCTGGCTTCAAACTGCAATCCTCAGATCTCAGCCTCCTGAGTAGCTAGGATTACAGGCTTGAGCCACTGATGTCCAGCAAGGTGTCATTTTTTTTGTTGTTTTTTTTTCCCTGAAGCCTCACAGTCAAAGCCAGTTTGTAGCAGGAAAGTAAGTCTATGAGACTCTTTTTTTTTGAGGGGGGGAGGTCCGGTCGTGGGGCCTGAACTGTGGGCCTGGGTGCTGTCCCTCAGCTCTTCAGCTCAAGGCTAGCGCTCTACCACTTGAGCCACAGCGCCACTTCCGGCTTTTTTCTTTTTGCTTATGTGGTGCTGAGGAATCGAACCCAGGGCCTCAGGCATGCCAGGCAAGCGCTCTACCACTGAGCCACCTTCCCAGCCCCTCTATGAGACTCTTTACTGCCAATTAACCAGCTAAAAGCTGGAAGTAGAGCTGTGGCTCAAGTGGTAGAATGCTAGTCTTGATTTTTTTAAAAAAAAGCTCAAGGATAGCGTCCCAGGTCCTGAGTTAAAGTCGCAGTACTGGCACACATGAAAAAGTTATTGTCCTCAAAACACTAACAGTAAGATGAGCACATCCAAGAGCTCCACTTACGTATGTCCCACCAACATTGAGAGCAGCCACTCATACAGTAGCCAAACAAGTGGAAGGTGCAGGAGCGCGCATGGCACATGGGAGGATACAGGACACGTGCAGGGATGATGATGGCCCACCGTCCTCGATAAAAAGGAAAGAAACAGATCGCTGCAGTGCAGGCAGGCCTGGACCTGTGCTCAGTGAAAGGAGTCAGTCACAAAAGGATAAACGTGGCAGGACACACTCACATAAGGTGCATGGCTATCAGAACTTGCAAGCAGGAAGTAAAATGGTAGGGTGGGGAGGAGAAGTGCATTCCTTTGTGAGTGTAGAGCTCCGGGATTTTTTTTTTTTTCCACTTCAAGGCTAGTGCTGTACCACTTTAGCTATAGCTTCACTTCTAGCTTTTTTTTTGTAGTTCATTGAAGATAAGAGTCTCATGGAGGGGCTGGGAAGGTGGCTCAGTGGTCCAGCGCTTGCCTTGCATGCCTGAGGCCCTGGGTTCAATTCCTCAGCACCACATAAGCAAAAGGAAAAAAGCCAGAAGTGGCGCTGTGGCTCAAGTGGTAGTGTGCTAGCCTTGAGCTGAAGAGCTGGGGGACAGCGCCCACACCCAGAGTTCAGGCCCCACGACTGGACCCAAAAAAAAAAAAAAAAAAGTCTCATGGATTTTTGTGCCCCAGCTGGCTTCAAACCACAGTCCTCAGATATCAGCCTTCTGAGTAGCTAGGATTACAGGCATGAGCCACCAGTGCCTGGCTAGAGTTCCAGTTTTACAAAATAAAATTTGTGGAGATGGATGGTGGTAGTTGTGTGGGAAGTAATATACCTAATGCCACTGAGCCATACATCTGCCTGTGTGCATGTGTGTGTGCATGGCTGTTGTAGGGCTCGAATTCAGAGCCTGAGCGTTATCTCTGAGGTTGGGACTTGAACTCCTTTTTGCTGGTTAACTGGAGGTAAGAGTCTCAGATTTGTCTGCTTGGGCTGATTTTCAAATTGTTATCCTCAGCCCTGAACCTGTTGAGTAGCTAGGATTATACACTGAACCCTTGAACTACACCCCCAGCCAATAATATACTAAACTTTAATTTTGTGTTAACCTAGGAGGCCAAAAAGCTAGCATGTTTGGGTATTCCGTGACTCGGCTTTCTTTCAAGAAGCTAGCATGTTTGAGTGTTCCGTCACTCCGCTTTCTTTCAGCTTTGGGTGCAGGGTGAGAAAACCCACCCCGGGCACTGCCC